AGGTGAGCAAGAGGAGAGAGCTCAGGTTGTTTTTCCCACAGCTTTCTCCCTGTTGAGCCACAGATTGGCAGGAGCAGTGTTGCTCTCCCAAAAGTGAAAGTGCCCACTGGACAGCTCTTTCCTACAGGTTTCACCCCGTTTCTTATCCCCTTGGAGGTCTGTGGGTAGTAGTCACTTTCATCTGTGGTACTTTACTGTCTCTTGTTCGTTTCCTGCTTACACCCTTGTAAATAGTCTTTTTGCTAAACCCCTTCAGTCATATCTTTGCTGTTTATGCTGTTTTCTGCCAGGGACCTTCTGGACACAGAGGTTGTTGATCTTTTCAGAACAACTTTCAGTGGAATGGTTGAGACAGATTGGAGGAGAAATAGGTAGAATGAAAGGACATTAAGATTATTTTTTATTTTTTGCAGGGTATTTGGCAATGAAGAGAAGGAGGATGCTAGAGAGGAATGCTAGTAAGAATTCTGAAAAACCAGGGAAAGTTTTTAAATGAGAGATGTAGACTTGTTTTTATTTGTGAATAAGAAACAGGCCGGGTGCAGTGGCTCCAGACTGTAATCCCAGCAATTTGGGAGGCTGAGGCAAGAGGATTGCCTGAGCCCACGGGTTCGAGACCAGCCTGGGCAACATTGTGAGACCTTGTCTCTACAATAAATCAAAAAATTAACCGGGTGTAGTAGCACATGCCTGTGGTTCCAGCTACTTGAAGGGCTGAGGCGGAAGGATCGCCATAGCCCAGCAAGCTGAGGCTGTGGTGGCCGTGAACATGCTACGGCAATCTAGCCTGGGTAACAGAGTGAGATTCCAACTCAAAAAATTAAAAAAAAAAAAAAGAAACATATAGTGGGAAAGGATAAATTATATGAGCAAAAAGTTGTGAAATTTGAATGTGATATAATCTGATTAAAAGCAGATGACATTATTACTCACACAAAAATACATCTTTGAGAATAATGAAATGGAAAACAGATGTACTAATAGATGTTGGGTAAGAAATTAGGAAAACTTATGCCTGGTAGGCCCAATTTCTTCTGTTGGAAGCAAGGCAGGAGGAGGGCAGAATTTAGGAGGAGGGCAGAATTTAGGAGGAGAATTTTGTTGAGGAGGGCAGAATTTAGGAGAGGGTTACTGAGGAAAATAATCAAAGTTTAGAATAGCTGTTGTGGGAAATGGAAGAGTGACCTGTTTGTTAAACAAGCTACAGACTTTAGCTGAAGAGCACAGATTGTTTGATACATGCATGAAATATTGAATAGCAATATATAAATTTCTTTAGTAGGACTTACCAGATAGTAGTTAGGAAAAGAGGGATCAGATGGTTGAAATGATTGGAAATTTGGGGATTTAAAAGAAAAGTGCTTTGGAAGAATAAGGGGATAAAAATAAAGGATACTGGCAGAATGGTGATTGATATCATCTGTCAAAAGTCTAGGCTGCACAGGAAGGAAAGAAACCATAAAAGTGGAGAAAGCATCAAAAAGGCAAGGGTGAGAAATTGGGTGTCTTATAGTACATGTGCTTTGAGAATAAAGGATTGTGAGAGCTGGAAGGGTGGATGGCTTTCATCAGAGAACAATCTATGAAATGAAGGTTTCAAAGAGGGAGCTGACAATGAAAGTAAGAGGAATAACTGAATAGATATGGCTGTATACTCGCTGTTAGCTAATCAGAGGAGCACAAATTTCTTCTCTGAAATCCAATATCAGCTAGGTTCCAGAATATAAGCTCTCAACATTAATAAATAAGTAAAATAGAAATAGACTCTTGTATCATTTAATTTCAGAAATGCATGCTCCCTTCCCAGACTGCAAATTTCTTCAGGAGATGATTGTATCCTATACATTTTTATCATCCCTTCCATTATCTAACATAATTTTTAGGACTTCTCTCAATTCACATATATACAATTTTGAATAAGTTCCTAATATAGAGAAATATTATGAGTGGTGTGTTTAATCCCAACTTCTTCTTTTTCCTTTTTTCTTTTCTTTTTTTTTTTTTTTTTTGAGTCCAAGTCTCACTCTGTCGCTCAGGCTGGAGTACAGTGGCACGCCCATGGCCACCATAGCCTTGACCTCCTGGGCTCAGGTGATCCTTCCACTTCAACCTTCCAAGGAGCTGGAACCACAGGTGTGTGTCACCATGCCCAGCTGATTTTTTAGATTATTGTTGAGACGAGGTCTCGACAAGAAGCCCAGGCTGGTCTCAAACCCCTGGGCCCAGGCAATCCTCTCACCTCAACCCCTCAAAGGGCTGGGATTACAGGCAAGAGTCACCGTGCTTGGCTGCATACCAACTTCTTAATAAATTAGCTTTTCTTTACATATGATTGTCTTTAAGATCATATATCTATATACTGTATGTACAATCTTATTTCATGTATATCTATTAATAACAGCAATAACTAACATTCGAGTGATGTCAGTGTCAGGCACTATTCTAAATAGTTTACATGATTTACCCACTTTTTCTCATAAGAATTCAGTGAGGTTGTGTTATTATTACCCTTATTTTACAAATGAGTACAGAGTACAGATACTAATTTGCCCAAAGTCACAGAATTATTGCATGAATTCAAACCTAAGAAGTCTGGCACTGATGCTCAAGGTATTAACCACCCCTAAGATATAGACATATAGCTATAAATGTAGATGCATTTATCAACTATTATTTGTATACATGTTTATTTTCTTTACCTTAACATCCCTGAGGTCAAGGACACTGACTGGTACATGTCAGCTTGTCAATAAGTATTCTGTGAACAAATGAATGGAGGAGTTTCTAACTTTACAGGATAATGTTGCTATTTCCTACAAATTTTCCTTTTATTTTTTCATTATTTTAAAACAAACACTCTTGACTTTTCCTTCAAATCCATTCCAGTTATTATTTAAGTGGTTTGTTATGGTGCATGTTATGGCATTTTAAACCTTTACGTTTAAAACTTTATTCTTTTGCTCAGACAAAAATGATCTCTTCCTCTCCTCCTGCCAAATAAAATAGCAGATTAAGTGTTTACATGAGGGGAGTTTGCAATCCAGGATTTCTGCAGCAGCAGGCTTCAAATGTTCTAGAAAAATCCTGCTTTTTGTTTGACTCTTCCTGATGAGTGTTATGATCAAAGCTTTACCCTGACATTCATTAGTCATCAAGTGCTTATTTTGAGAATGGTTGCTATCATCACTTACTCTCTACACAGGTGCCACCTAGTTACTTTTGTTTTGGCAATTATGGGTTAAACACATTTCTGGGCTCAGTCCTGCTTAAGCTTGCTGGCTCTTTATTTTAACTTAAGGCATAGTGGGTCATTTAAGAGTAAAGCTTTCTTGAAACAGGAATCTTTCAAAACACTAGTTTTTATTCTTCTTGTCCATAGATGAGAGTCTTTCTTTCTCTTTCAGTAAAGCAATTCTTTCCTTTATTTTTGTTAAATAAGATTCCAGAAAGTATACAGTGCAAACACTCAGTAGAAAAGTTGCAATTAAGAAATGAACATTCATATTTAACATTTCAGTCCATTCACTTTTTTACAAATAAAAAATAGGACAGATTATTCAATTACTTCTCTTAATTTAACAGTCTTTCACTGTTTAGCCTTTCTTTACTGCCCTGGCTTGACAAACTGTGCTACACTGCAGTTAACAATGACTCATGATTGAAAAGAAACATTGTTTAAAATATTGCTGTCTTTTAAGATGCATATTTGACTATCCTTCTTCACTAACTTGCTACAATTCTTTTAGGTATTTACTTCCAGTTCATGGAATTAATGTCAATTTAAAAAATTGTTCTACTAAGGAGTTTTTGAATTATACATATATAATGCAAGGATTCTGCTTTTTTGCTATAGTTTTTAGGTCAAGTAATTCCTGATGCAAAGAGAGGGAAAATAATTGTAGGAGAAAAATTACTGCTTGGATGCAAAGAATAGGATTCACAGCACAGTTTGATCCATAACCTTAGATAGGATGGACACCTCTACCAATGTAACATCAGTAGAAACAGAGTTCACTGTTGCTACACATTTTAGGTGTGGTGATGAAAGGATGAGGTAGATCTCATCTAATAATTTTTGTTTTCTCAATGAAGAGGAAATTCTTGGGGTCAGGGAAAGAGATATAAAGGGTTTAAGGAAAGGAGAAAAGTTGTAAATTAGTCATTTAGGAGAATGAAGACTATATCTTGTGGCTAAAGTTTGATTTTGACATTGGGTAACCAAGAGAAAATATACTAACCTGCTTTAAACACACTTTTTTCATGGGGAGCCCATTTCTGGATCCTTATCAAATACCATGTCTTTAATTGTAGGACATATCATTTCAGGTCTCATTCACCGTTATTGCTCTACTCTGATTCAGACACCTAGGAGTTTCTTTAATTTTATACTTCATCTTATTTTTTCATAAAAGAACACAGGTACTCGATAAGTGATTATAGTATTTTTATTATTATTAAATATTATTCTTGCCAGGCACGGTGGCTCATGCCTGTTATCCCAGTACTTTAGGAGACTGAGATGGGAGGATGGCTTGAGCCCAGGAATTTGTGACCAGCCTGGGCAACATAGCAAGACCTGGACTTTCCAAGGAAAAAAAAAATCAAAAAATGTACCAGGCATGATGGTGCGTGCCTGTAGTCCCAGGTATTAGGGAGTCTGAGGCTGGAGGATTGCCTGAGCCCATGAGTTTGAGGCTACAGCGAGCTGTTATCATGCCACTGCACTCCAGTCTGGGTGACAGAGTGAAATCCTGACTCAAAAATAATAAATAAATAAATAAATAAAATAATATTCTTTCATCTAGAAAATAAAAGGATCTTACTTTCATTATGCCCTTTTAACAGCTTTTCCCCTACTTTAAAATAGTACTTTAACTTGACATATTTCTAATTTTCTTAAACATTGATTTGATTGAAATATATTTTACTGAATGACATTCTGTATTTTGCACTTTATAATTTTTTAGAGCCCTGCTAATGTAATATTTGAGAAATAATGAACTTCAAATAGAACATTTATTTCCTCATGAGATTTTATTTTTATTACAGAAGTAAAATTATACTTAATAATATGATTTGAAAAGCCCAGATAATAACACCAAGGAGGAAAAAAGGAATAAAAAAGCCAACATATAACTTGAAAGGAATTTTTGAAAAATGTCACAATGTTATCCATATCCTCTTTGTCTATCAACAATGTTGCTGAAGACAACTTTTTTTTTGTAGTAAAGCATTTTAACGGTTTGAACAACTAAAACTAAGAAATGCTAATAACATAGTTGTAGTGTCAATCTTTCCTGTCAAAATTGAATAGCCATGGCCATACTTGGTCTTCTCTAAAGGAATATGGATACTACCAAAATCAATGTTCAATGCATAAAGGACAAACACGAGATATTGACATAGTGAATCTTTTATTCAATATCTTCTTCTTCCATGTTGGTCTGCTCTAGGGCATGTACCTCTCTTTCAGGCAGTAACCCATATTCATTTAGGAAAGACTCCACATCCCCAGCAAAAAATTCTTCAGCAAACTGTTCAGCAACACTGATAAAATTGCTTATGAGTTCCCCACCTTTGTAGACGAGCAGCGTAGGGAGTACATCTGAGGAAAAGCGGTCTCCAGCGCCTGTATTAGAAGCTTTTATTTTGCAAAATTTGACTATGGGGTATTCTGCAGCAAGGCATGCTAAACTATTGTTTAGAGTATCACAGCCCTTAATACCATCTTCATAAATGTGAACCACGATGGTAGTGATCTTTTGCTCCTTTTCAATTGTTTCCAGGAACTGCTCCCCATTTTCCAGCTCATACACAAACCCATACCTAGGCCCAAAACTCAACTTCTGGTGCATATCCTGCATACACTGTCTACGATATTTACGAAGGCAGTTTTCATCCTCTTTGTCCTGATGGATTAATTCATATTCTTGAATGCTCATCTGAGAATAGATGAAAGAAATGATAGAGATTATGCAGTCAGAAATTTATATTCATTCGACATACCAAGCCCATTCTCAACTGGGAGGTTACTTTTGCTGTTTTCTCTGGCTGGACCACCTATCTTCACTCCTGTTGTGAAGCGGTCTTCTCCTTCACCTTATTTGAATTTTTGCTCAAATGACACTTTTCTTGATTACTTTACCTATGACAGCCCCACCCCACACTCAGCATTCTCTATTTTGGGGGTGCTCAATCCCCAGGCCACAGACCAACACCAGTACTTGACCTGTTAAGAACCATGCAGCACAGCAAGAGGAGAACATGGGCGAGCAGAGGCATTGGATTCTCATAGGAGCTCAAACCCTACTGTGAACTGTGCACGCAAAGGATCTAGGTTGTGCGCTCCTAATAAAAATCTAGTCCCTGACGGTCCCCCTCCACCTCCCACTGTCTGTGGAAAAGTTGTCTTCCATGAAACCGGTCCCTGATACCAAAAAGTTGGGGACTGCTGTTTTATATGCTTTATTTTCTTCATAGCAATAAACACTGCCTGACCTTGTGTGTGTCTTGTGTGTGCTCATGTATTTCTTTAATATCTATTTTCCTAACTGATATGTTTCATGGAGACAAGAATTAAATTTGTCTCATTCATCATTTTGTCTTCAACATTGGCTATAGTATCTGGCCTATAATAGGGTTCAATAATTATTTCATGATTAAATGCATGTATAACTATTGCTGCCTATAACTGAGCTACACAACGCGCACAATCTCAATCAGTAGTATGCCACTTGACTATTCACCACTTTGAGTGAATAAAACCTAGCAAGGTTTGCTCTGGAGTGACTTTCATAAAAAAAAAAAAAAAAAAAAAAAAAATACACACACACATTACACATTTAAATGTGTCTGTAACAAATGCCTCTGGACAATAGTGTTTCCTTCACAAAAGTTGTTAAGATAATATCTTATAACTTACTGATTTTTTTTTTTTGGGAAAATATAGGATGGAATTCAAGCAAGACAGCTTTTAGTACAATTTGGAGTTCACCAGATTAGCAAGAGGTTAAATGATGGGCCAGCAGCATCTGTCTGGCAATGGAAACTTCTTAGAAATGCAATTATCGGGGCTCCACCCCGGATTTGCTGAATCAGAACCTATAAGAGTGAAGCTGAGCAATCCATATTTTAACAAGCTCCGGGTTATTATTATTCAACGGTTTAGGCTAAAGTTAGAAAAGACCTAAGTTTCATTTCCCAAGACAGCTACTTTATATTGCAGATGGAATACAAAATCACTTGCACAACCTTTCATGGTAGCTACTCCAAGTCTACTGCTGAGCCACCCTGAACTGGTCCGATCAATCTCATCTGACATGGAAACTAAGCAGGGTCTTGTCTGCTTAATAACTTGGATAGAAGATAGCATAATAGCTGCTCCATTACTAATGTATTCAATAGAATGTTAAGCATCCCTTTCCTCCAACCAAGAAAAAAAAAGGCACAACGGGACAGAGTGTGATTAACAGACATGAAGCAGTTCGTTATCATGGACATTAGATGGGGGGGGAAGGGATCATCCACTGCTGCCTTATCATCATGTAACTTCACAAACAGCAGAGGAGAATTGAGAAAACAAGGAGCTAATGTTTATGGAAAATCCACTATGCCTTAGGCACTTTACATAGATTATGTTATTTAATCCTCACAAATATCCTCTGAGATAGGTATTATTAGTGTCATTTTACAGGAGGAGAGACTGAGATTTAGCTTAAGTAGAAGTCATTGCTTCTTTCTCTTGTTATTATTTTTGTTTTCCTAATGTTTTCATTCTTTTTCTTATCATAGTGTTTTTTTCTTTCTTAAGATTATTGTCTCAGTTTAGTTTGTTTTAACCCTAAAATTTCTTAATGTATTTGAATGCCTAAATATATACCTGAATATGTGAATGAAGCAAGTTACCATATGAGTGCTCAAATGCATCTTCACATAAATAATTGTGTGGTTTGAGCTGCTAAACTTACTAACTTGCTTCATTCACGTATTCAGGCATATAGATATTTAGGCATTCAGATACATTTCTCAAGTTTAACCTTAGTACACAATTTTTAAAATAATTATTTAGTGCCACATTTGTATAGTATTTTACATATTTCAAAACACTTTTGCATTTATTTTCTCTTCTTTACATCTCTTTAAAAAAATGGAGGAGGTTTGTTACAATTCCTCAGGTGGGAAAATTTAGTTGTCTTATCTATATCACATAGTGACTCAGTGAAGGAACTAATCTCCCTCTCTCCCTGATTTTAGACTTGCAGATTTTTGCAATGGGTAGAAGCTTGGGACCAAGGCATATTTGATCACAGTTCATCTGTTAAAAAACAGTATACAGCAATTCACATACACTGGTTTGGAGATATATAATCCACTAAATTGATTTTTCTCCACCATAAAAATTACCTTATGTTTTCTTATATTTTTATAATTCTTATTATTGCTATACAAATAATAATGCTAATTATAAAGATTCAAAAATGGCCTAAAAGCTAAAGAAAGAAAATAATAAATACTGTAATTTCACCAGCCTGATACTCAGTAATAATCCCTACTAACATTTTAGGTATCATCTTTTAATATATGTCTTTATGCAGGTAGACATACCCATTATGTAAATTAAATAAAAATGTTGCTTTAAAAACTTGTTAATACTTTTTTTGAAAAAAAAAGTGACTTATTCTGGCTTCTTCCTTCGTCTCGTCTCCCAACAATCTTGTCCTTTCAAATGATCAACACTGTCAACTTGGTGAGTGCCTTTCTGAGCTTATCCATATGTAAACTCATATGCTTATAATCATATAAGCATAAAACCATATATGAAGGTATCTTTTTAAAATTGTTCTAGAGAATGGAATCCTACAATTTTAAATTCTCTGCATTTTGCTTTCTCATATTGTGAAACTACCTCTAGGTCAACTTGTGTATTTGTAACTCATTCTCTTAATTAGCATTTTGCATGTATTTCTTATTATGGGCTACCTTAATAGGCATTCGCTTCAATTCTATTTTTTGCCAGTATAAACGATATTGCAACCAATATATTTTACAATATTCCAAAGTGATTCTTTAGATTGATGTAGATTTAAAAACATACTACAAATTATTTTTTATTTGCTTTTTATTATCTTACCTTTCTGCTGACTCTGTCTTTTGTATCTTTGTCATCTTTATTCTGGGGAGAAGACATTTGTCTGAGAATCTCCTTCTTGATAGGTGGAACTGAATCATCATCTTCACTCTCTAACTTAAACTTTCTCCAATCATTTATTACTCCTTTGGGTCCTGGAATAAAATTAAAAATAATTTTCTCTTTTTATTTTTAAAAGACTGTTCACACAATTAAAATTTGTATACATGTATATTGGCATGGAAATAGACTTATGTCCTGCATCAGAAATAAACATCATGTCTGGGCTAGAGATTTCTGACTGTCCTGCTCATAAAAATGTTCTTGCACATCAATCTTGTTAAATGGGATTTGACAAATAATTTTTCTGAAACATTTGCACTAATGAAAATATAAATTTTTGAAAGTATAAATTTTAAATAGTTCAAAGCACTTTGAACTATTGGTAAAAGTTTAGGGTAAACATATTTTAAAAGAGCATAGGAGGAAACTAGAATTTTAGAAAAATAGCACTTTTATTACATAAGAAATTTCAGCAACAAACCACAATTTCTCTACATTCTTGAAAAGGAAACTCGGAATGTTGGGGAAGCAATAGCAATAGTACATAAAAGACAATTGATGAAAGGAAGACCTGACCTCAACAAACCTCAAATGGCTTTAAGAAAATCATTGCCTAACCATCCATGTATTCTAAGAGTGTATGAATTTTTTACGAATATAGAAAGAATGAGACTGGTAGATTTAAGAAAAACTAATTAAACAAAGGATGTTCTAACTGAAATCCTGATATCCAGTTGACCTGATAGGTAACAACAGTGCTTAGGGGAAGATCTTAATTTCTTGAAAACAAGCAATATTAAGTTGACTAGACGTCACTAGCTATATCCATACCTTTGATGTTATATTCTATATGTGGGTATATTCTGTCTTTCTCCTCCATATTGTCTAATCATTTTTATTTGTATTATATATAATATGAATGCATTATAAATTTATTTGTGTTAATTATACTGTAATCAAAGTTATTTGTTTTCATATCAGTACTTATAATATGTTTTATGAATATACAATATATGCACGCATGTGTGTATTTTTGTTTAGAAAAGAGAATTTATTTTTCTCCTGTTTTCTACAAATGATAGAATATTACATTTTTCCTTACCTTACCTTTCTTTTTTCACTTAATAATATCTTGGAGATTTTTAAATATACATACATAAAGAGGTTCTTTCTTGTTGAAAAAATAGAAGCATGGTTATTATGTGGATATACATAATTTACTTAAATAGTTTCACATTGATCTACATTATTGTTTTCACATTTTATAACATGATGCTGCATGAAGAACCTTATGCATGCATTTTTTTCTATCTATGCAGGTATATTTATAGTTATAAAAGTAAAATTTCTTGGTCATATATATTTCTAATCTTGATATTGCTAGACTGCCCCTACAAAGACTGAACCAACTTATATTCATTCCATAGTGGAGGGGGAAATTAGAAGAGGAAAGTGGTTTAATTATAATGTGGATAGAGACGTCTTGGGACAGTTGGGCAGCAAGAAATTATCAATGATTAGTGTTTTTCTTACTCTTTGACATCTAAATAAAACTGTTTTATGTGTTATTTGATTTCAGTTAATTTGTCCACTCAATTTTTTTTTAGATGATTCAAGCAAACTTTACAAAGGTATTACTTAAAGTACATACTGAATAGTGTCAATAAGAACGTTAGGTATTTCCAAATTTAATTTTAATTTAATAGTTATTTTTCTTTCTAGCTTTACTTACCTGTATGTGTAGCCTCTCCATCAAAATCTTCCTCTAAACTTTGACTTTTGTCTTCTTCCATTTTAGGGACTGGATTTGATACACAGTAATCTATAGGATGAACAAAGAACAATGACAGATGAGTTACAGTAATACATACATATATATATAAATACATGCATATGCATAGTTATAGTCTCCTGCTGCCAGGTTCCATAGTAAGCAAAGAATGATCACTAAGTGATAAAATGTTTAAAATGTTTCTGTGCATTAGACAATTAATTTAACATGTGTGCTAAAGATGTTTGACCCTAAGAATTATTTTACATGATTCATAGTTTATTTAAGCCTTCAGTGTAGGCCTATGTACATAGTGAAAACTATTTATTACTGATTTTCTTTTTTGAACACTGTTACCAAATTTTATAATACTATATGAAATTTGAATATATATTATAATAATCAACGTATATTATTTATGTCATATAATACAAATTTTAAGTTAGTAATAATTATAGATTTACTAAGAACACTTACTATTTATCAGGCACTGTTCAAATTATTTTACATGTTAAAACTCACTTAATTCTCACAGTCATATATGGTAGGGACCATTGTTGATGACATTTTACAACAAGGACGCGGAAGGCCAGGGAGTTTATGTGATTTACTCAAGATCACACAGCTAGTAAGTGGTGGGGCAAAGATCTGAGCTTAGATTATTTGACTTTGGAGTCAACTTTTAACTATTACACTATTATGGAAATTAACATACTATAACCGAGTCATTTTTCTCAGCATGGTTTGACAAATCTAATCTCCGAAGTGGCATCAAAGAATGATGGTCTAAGGAACACAGCTATTCAATAACATCTCTCCAAACCATAGATAGGGGTCCCCAAATCCCCAGCCAGGGACCGGTACCAGTCTGCACAGCAGGAGGTGAGCGGCAGGCAAGTGGAGGCAGATCAGCCCAGGCATTAGATTCTCATAGGAGCACGCGAAGCTTGTTGGGAACTGCGCATGCTAAGGATCTAGTTTGTACGCCCCTTATGAGAATCTAATGCCTGATGATTCTCTTCCCCATCCCACCTCCCCGTCCTACCTCCCCTAGTCAGTGGAAAACTTGTCTTCCACGAAACTGGTCCCTAATGCCAAAAAGGTTGGGGACCAATGCCATCGAGCAAGTTTTCATGACAACAGTATCCACTCAGCAATTGAAAATAGCCAGTAGCTGAGTCTATAAAATACATCACAAAATCACTACAAGCACATGGATATTTACTCATAGGAAACTTCTTTATGTCCTCATGTAGAACCGATTTATTCTTGATTCTAATCTATTTGCTTGTTTTTCAATTATCTGGAAAATTCAATTATTATACATACCAACATATTCCCTAAGGGGTTCATATAGCTGAAGTTTTCCTGAAATTCTTAAGTAAGAGATACACAATCTTCTTTTTATACATTTTTCTTCCCTCATTTCATTCCTTTGCTTCCTCCTTTTAATTTAAGCACTAATGACATCCAGCTTGTACTTTGAATCCCATTTTAGTTTTTTATTGATTTACACTTCAATCCTTCACTTGGTTTGTCTGGTGCTTTCCCTACAGGGTGGTAAGCCAGAATACTATCTTGATTTCTTTTTTGCCTTGACTTCTGGTCCCAACGCTTGGACTAGTCTTATAATTTTAGTGTTCCCCTTTCCGCGTTCTCTATCCAGAGTCTCTAGTAGTCTAATGTCTTTGCCAATTTTGTTTCACTTGAACAATAAAAGTCTTTTAAGAGAAGACTGTCAAGGGAAAACCAATTTATTTCACAATATTTATGTAACTATAAATATAAAGAAAGTTACATTTGAATGGCTTTAGTAATTAAAAATAATAGAAAATGGAAGAATATTTTTTGCTGAACAAAAAGGCCAGTAAATTTTTAACTGCAACTATTTTGAAAGAAATTTTGTATCTAAGAAAACATGAAAATTTTTGCTTTTAAATAAAACCACAGAACAAATAAATGGAAACTTCTTTGATAATTTTAAGAGCTGTTTAGTTCCTGGAAAAGTAGAGTCTCAAAACAATTCCTTTTACTTTAAAGGAATAGATTGTCAACTTGGGGTAGCTACTATTCTCAGTAAATATACAGAAGGCTTAGGAGAATCTAAAAGTAATTTTATTTCAAATGGTGAAGAGACGGTGTAGCTTCCTTCTCTACCTGCTTCTTGCCTACCTAGTTGACAATCTATGGGGAAAAAAAGAAATTTCATTTTTCAGAAGAAGCTTTCAACAAATTCAAGGAGTTCCTTTATTGAAAAGAAACAAATATAAATGGTTCTACTTGTTCCTGTTTCACCTATGATAGTGGTGACCTAGAATAGGAAGGAAGTGAGTAAAATTCTTAAACGGAGAATTAAAAACTCTTTGAAAACCCCAAATCCATCCCTAAACATTTCATTATCATCATTATCCTTGTTCACATGATGCTGTAATGATAATTGTTAATCACTTCAAATATGTTGATCTAATCTAATCAGAATATCCAATTTAGAATTGACATGTAGATTCATTCTCTCCAAGAAAGCTTTGTTTTCAAGACAATCTTTTGTTGTTTTTTGGTAGATTTTCAACAATGGGGATCATCTCATCCCTGTATCCCAGACTGAATTTTCTTCTAGCATCCACAATAATTTATGGCATTTACTTTTACATATTTTTCTTCAGTATTTTAAATTCTTTGAGTACAGAGGCAATTTTTTTCCTTGTTATCTTACTTATAATTGTTTTACACATCATAAATACTCCATAAATGACAACATCAAATGTTTAAAACCTACTATGAGCTGGGTACTTCATACACGTTATTTTCAATTTTCACAAAATTATCTTTGTTTTTCATATGTGGATTGTCAGCTTTCAGAGATCCAGTGACTTGTCAGAAGTAGTTTGGGGTATATAGAGCCAGGTTTCAAATTTCTGACTCTCAAATCCCCAAAATTCTTATTTTTTCCACTATACTATTGCCTTTTCAATAAAATGCTTAGAGAATGAATGCATTTACCAAAGAAGCCAACCTATTTCTATATATGCACTAAAAACAAGTTGAGGATATAGAAAATAACAATAAGTCGCCATATCCCTAAATTCCTTGAGACAGTATTTATTTAAATGATATATTTCTGTTTTGGATTAAGCCTCATTAGTTTATACTGAATACAATAGAAGAGTATGTTTATTCCAAGTTAATTGAATAAACTCTAAATAACTGATAACGACTCTAGAAGATGAGTACAAAAGACAAAATGGTTTTGCCTTCTATTGGTTCTCGACAAGCATGTGTATTGAGAACTTATCAGCTGTCCTATGTCTCTAGGTCATTTATAAAACAAGTATGGTAGGCAAAATGCATCCATTATATATAAAAATAAAACTAGAAAATGTTCTTTATAGAACTACTGTAGCATGTGTGGCAAAATAATGGAAATACAATATGAGCCTTGTGTGGAGATCTGTACAGTGAAGTCAGTTATTTCACTTATGGACTCCTATCATATAATCCTATACTCCAAAGAATGGTATTTGATTATTAAAATGTAACTGAAGTAACAATTCTATGCTTCAGAAATCTTTAAGAGTAATTCTAAAGTTATGCCTGTTTTGTAGGCTTCTTATTATCTAGTCCAGGTTTTATATAAAAATGTCACTGTGTGGTTTATATCTGAAAACTAGTAGTTCTTTCAAACTTTCTGTACTCTTCTATTTGTCAAAAGTCACAAATAAACACAGTTGCCAGATGCCTTTGTCTGCTTGGGCTACTATAACAAAATTATAGATTGTGTGACTTGAAAAAAACATTAATTTGCTCATAGTTCCAGAGGCTAGAAGTCCCAGATCAAGATCTAGCAAGGTCAGTTTCTCTTGAAGGCTCTCTGTTGTTTCTGCTAAATTTAAAATAAACAATCTTCTTTTCATCCATGATTGCGTGTATTCCCTTTTGGAAACACATGGAGTGAGAAGCTGTTTAAGAGAAGATGCTGCACTAAAAATGGCAGATGGCTGCCTTGTCACTGTGTCTTCATATGGCAGAGTGGGTGAGCTCTCTGATGTCTCTTCTTATAAGGACATTAATTCTATAAGACCTTATTTAACCTTACTACTGTAAGGTTACCATTACTACTGTAAGGTAATTTGCCCTATCTCCAAAATATAGGCACATTGAGGTTTAGGGTTTCAATGTAAGAATTTTGAGGGGAATACAATTTGATTCATGGTTCTGACTTTTGCAAATCATAATTTAAACTATGTAGATGCAGCCCACTCCTTCTGTGCCTCTATAACCTGCCTTTTCTTTAACGGTGACAGCTTTGAGCCTCAGGATTTTTCAGGGTTCTTCACCCAGCCTTGATAATTGCAATGAGGGAAATGAGGCATACCTAAAATCAACCCTGCCTTTTTTTTTCTTTTCTTCTCTTTACTAGTTATTTCCCTGCTTCATGGATTCACATCCTTAAGATGTTACAGAAGGCCTCACAAAAATATAGGCCAGGATTCCCCTGTATGTTAGATAATAACATGCTAATTATTTATTTGACCAGTTTCTGGGTTGTTTTGATGTCCTAAGGAAAATACTGGTGTTCTCTACTAACCGCAATAGAATCAATAATATTGCTCTAAAAAAGTAAATAAGAAGATTGAGATCCAGACTTAGGATATTTGCTCACCTTAGTCCAGGTCAGAATGAGTAACTAGTAGGACATCTTAAAATATATTGTATAGCAGTATTTTCCATGCAAATAAAAAATATTTTAAAACATTTCAATAGCTATTTTTTCCCCTTGAGAACAAACAGGTAGATGCTCAATAGAAGTAATCTATTTTATTTAGGAAGGTGGAACTCGGGTAAATATACCCTCATTCCTTTTTTCTTTTTGCAAATTGTAGTTAAAGGTTTTCACTACCTTATTCTGAGATGGTTTCCCTAAGTACAGACAAAAAAGTTAAACAACCAAACATTAAATTACCTCTCTACCTATGACATAACTAACATTTGCCAGAGAGTACAAAATTCAGAAAACATAGAGCATTGATGTAGTTTTTATGTAAAATTTTCACAGTAAGATAGTTTATTGTTTCTTTTAAATTTAAAATAAACAATCTTTCTTCTTTTGCATCCATGGTTGTATATATTTCCTTTTGGAAACACATGGAGTAAGAAGCTGTTTCAGGGAAGATGTTTATTAAAATTGGCATTATTATGACTAAACATGGGCTATAAATAACAGACTGCGAATATATGCACTGAAGTGAAATGCTTCTTTAACTCCACTAAAGTGGAATTTAGTAAGTTGTTTATCTTTAAGGCATTACTTGGAACATACTTTGCTGTAAGATGACTGAAACCAAGCAAGGCTGTAGGCAGGCAAAATTGACAGACATTCTGTTTTACCTTCACTGTTGTTAGAGACCCAGATTTTGTGCCTTGGTCTGTGCCCCATAGGATGTTCACATCGTTCTGCTTACCCTTGCAGAGCTTCACGTCCTACCCTTTTCTACTTCTAACCTTACATCTCCTTAGGTCTCTGCTTTCCTGTGTTTTCCAAGGTGACTGTGAGCTAATCTGATCAACTAAGCCAGGCTAATGTGCTCACCAATACTAATATATTCATGTGAGATGTTTTAACCCTTGCCATGAATATCTTCCCCAATGTCATACTGGACTTCTGTAGAAAGCAGTTCTGCTTTTTCTTCCTTATTAAAATAAATTACTAGTGGTGGGGGTTTCATATCAGATAGGTCTGACATTATGTCAGATCATGGAAGTATTCCTGGTCTTGTGGAGACCTCCACTGTTGATGAAATCATAAAGGTAGATCCAATTATTTTATCCAAGCCATAACGTCCTCCTTTGCTCTCCATGCCATTATTTAATTTCTTTACTTTGAGAATGAGAGATGGCTAGCTAAGAGTGATATACTCTTAAGTTTCATCAATAAAGAAGGGATTTTATGCTTCATATATCAATTAATTTCTTGAATTATTCTCTAATTGATTTATTTATATGTGTCTTCTCAAAGGAGGAACTAAACTTCTTGTGGCAGGAACCATGCATTACAATGCTTCCAAATGGCTGTATAGTAAAGTGATTAGCACTTGAATATTTGGGTTCAAATCCAGCTCTGACAATTGGTTGTATGACTTTGGGCAAATCACTAAAGCTCTCTGTGCTTTATTTTTCTCATCTGTAAAATTAGAGTAATAATAGTGATTATTTCAAAAGGTTGATGAGGATTAAATGATTGAAGTTATATAAAGCATATGGTATTTTGTACTAGGCACTTAATAGACATTGAGTAAAGACTTGATAATTAGTGAAAAATTTTAAATACTAAAACCAAATATTTAAAATTAATAATTACTGTAGTCAAAGTAATCTAAATTTGTGTTTAGGAAATAATACATATATGTACTACTTATACCCAATTAGCTCCCCTGCCCAAGGAATGTGTGTATGTGTGTATACATAGTCACACACATATTATATGTTTTATCTCAAAATTGTTTTATATTTTCCTATCTCATTACAAGATCCCTTATAATTCTTTGATTATTTCTAGTAATGTCTACTTGCCACAAGGCATTTAAGAACATTCAAAATAAAGGAGATTAATTTGGAGTTATGAATACAGGCTAATAAAATGTATATGAAATTTCCTCCAGAAATAGTAAAAAGATTTTCTGAAGATGTGTGCCTAAGTGGGAAATGGGAGTGATGATTTAAGTTGAATGTAACATACTTGTTTTCCAATAAATTGCCTTCTCTACCCACAATTTTGCAAATCACAAGTGATTTTCTGTTTGATTTTCCTTTTTGCATTTATATCATAAAACTTTATGTATCTTATTCTGAGTACTAATTCTCTAATGGAGTAGGACAATACTCAGGATTTCTGTTACCACCTTTAGTTATTCTAGTTGTCAATTTTGGCATAGATCAATTTTTGCATTTTGTGGTATCATTTTAAGAATTTTATTTAAAAATAAATCCTCGGAAGTGTTAGTGGAATACAAGACACACAGTCTCAAAATGGCTATAACAAATTAGAAAATGGCTGATACGCACCAAATATTAGTTTCCTTTCTTTTGCATATAAGAAATTCAAGATGCTATTGAAAACATTCCTTACTTTATGCATTACTTCCCCACCCTCAGTATCTAGATCAAGTTCATGACAACTTTGATAGAAAAACTATGATAAAAACTTTGACATAAGACACTATGGAAATAATGTAATGTTTTCTTAGTCTCTACCCTACTTGAATAATTTTCCTTTTGTAATAAATGGGACTGGGCAGGTGAGAGATGTAGGGAAACTTGTAAACAGCTTGTTTATCAGGAATGCATAACAAATAGCAATTTTCCATTTGTTAATCTGTATCATCAGTAAAAAAAAATTTATTCTGGAAAAATATGAGCTTTCAAAACCATAACTGAATTCTTGCTCTTAATAAAAAGACATCAAACTTTCCAGGTTTGCTATTACAAGATACAGATATTCTCTTACATGCTCTGGAGAAAACAGAGTATCAGAACGTTGTAGGGAATTCAGTAGCTATCTTTTTTTGAGTATCTCTTTATCTTATAAATGCACTTATTCCTGTATGTATTGTTTGAATTTCATTACAGATATTATCATAAATGATTTCTATATATTTTGACTATGGCTTATATAATATCAAATCCAATTATAAACATAATATTTATGGAAAAAATTTTCATGGTGAATTAGATGATCTCTAAAGTTTTTTCTAGTTTTAATGGTCGGTAATTCTAAGTAGCATGGATAATGGACCAAAAAATATGTATTTAAAATGGATGCTATCTTTAAAATCTATTTTTGCCATTAATAAAAATATTCCTTTGCAAAACAGTGGAAAATCTGACTGCACTCATTTTCATGATGCAAACTGTAAAATTTATTAGTAATAATAATCACTTAGATGGGAACAAAATAGAAGAAAAATAAAACCAATTGAAAGAAAAGTTTCACCTAATTTAACAAATATCAGTATCATTTTCTTTTAAAAACATTACTTCTCTCTCATTAAATTTTTAAAGTAACCTTTAGAAACAAACATTATTATCCCTATTTTAAAGATTAAAACCACCATCACCACCACCACACACACACAAAAAAAACCCCCAAAAGATACTGTTAAGCAAAATGCCCTCAAACACACAACTAATTGTCTGATTCAGATATCTGATAGTGCCTTAGTGCTGAATGTAATGCAGTAGTCCTTCCTTATCCTAGGTTTTGATTTCTGTGATTTCAGTTACCCTTGGTCAATGCAAAATTCCAGAAATAAACAATTCGTGTTTTAAATTGTATGCTGTTTCGAGTATCATGATGAAATCTCATGCTATCCTGCTCCCTGCAACCCAGGACTGTGAATCCTCCTTTTGTCTAGCATATCTGCACTATCTGCACTACTTGCCAGTAACTCGTAGCAGTATTGGTTATCAGATCAATGACTGTGGTATTGTAGTGCTTGTGTTCAGGAAACCCTTATTTACTTACGGTCCTGCAGTGCAAGAGTTATGATGCAGGCGTATTGTGATATTTCTTCTATTTTATTATTTGTTATTGTTAATCTCTTACTGTGACTAATTTATAAATTAAAATTTATTATAAGTATATATGTATAGGAAAAAACAGTGTATATAGGGTTTAGTTCTATCTGTGGTTTCAGGCATCCACTGGTCTTGGACCATTTCCCCTATAGATAAGGGGCAACTACTGCACTCCCTTTCAAAGTCTCAGAGCCAAATCTTCAAACACAAAGTGCAAGGAGTCATTATTTCTTCTCTCCAGTTTTCCCTTTACCCAAAGGAAAGTTAAAATTTCAAAATGAATTGTCCAGTCAGTCTTACTTTAGCTGTCTAGAATATCAGACTCAAAATTGCATGTTTACTCTGAATTTTTATGAGTGAAGATGACTAGCACAAATTACTTTAAGAGAAAGATACACAGTAATTGTTATAGTAAAGAAATCAATACTTTATGTGCTTTGAACTCTTTAGAACAATACAATAATATATAAGCAATGAAATCATCATTCTTTCTTCTAAGGTAACATTTTAAAAATTATGTTATCAAGAGACTAATTGTTGACTCACAGTTTAGATCTCTGTGCTGATGTCCTTGAGTATGTTCAGTGGGAGAGAATCCTGGTCTACTGAACTCCTTTTGAACTTGGGCAAGTTTAAGCTCAGATTTAAGAACCTAGGATATTGATGACCTTTGCAAAAATAGCTCTGAACAAGTAATAGGATTGACTTAAGAGAATTAACACAACCTATTCAGATGGTAGGGCAAAAACAAACAGAATAGTCGCTTACAGTTTACAGAACACTGAATGGGTGAAAGACAGAATATATAAGTATTTATTTATTACAATAACATGAGTTATATTCATTAGTTCCATAAATATGTATTGAGCACCTACTTTTGGTAAAACTAGCAGTAGTTAGGCACTGGAGATAAAAAGAAAAATAAACTCTATTCCCTATGTCGGGGTCCTATAGTCCAGTGGGGGAGATAGACAAGTGAAAAGATAATCACAATGAAGTGTTATAGTTACTACAGTATTTGGAATTAATGAGAGTGATTCTGTAGGACATAGTGGTGGTTTGCATCTTCTTTTATTACTGGCCTTTAATAAAACTTTTTCAGCTTGGCTAAGTCACTTATGGATCTATTGGCTTTCCAGATTCCAATTTTATTAGTATTTTCTTCTTTCCATTTCTTCTTATTGTTGTGGGTTTTTACCATTAAAAATTCCTTTTCTTCTATTTTTTTAATGGGGATTAGAAATGTAGGGAAAGTAGATAGATATGATAAATCTTTTCCTAACGCCTTTAATTCTCATAACCAAATTTTTCATCTAACTTTGCCAAAGTAGGGGACTTAATTTACTCTAAGCTTAAAATTAGAAATTTTTAAATAGCAAGAGGACAAAATTTATAACATTAATGGAAATTTAAATGAATACATCTAGATTTGTAAATTATGATGTTTGATCATATGTAGCTTCATTGGAAAACCTTAAACAAATCTTGACACAATTTAAACAGTGATTAAGTCCAAACAAATTTTAATAATTATGTTTTATTATACTAAATTGATTTGACATTTATTTCCTCTCCTTGTTAGCTGGAGGAAAACATATCACATTTTAGAGCTTTGTTGGCTGATATATTTCTTTTATGATATGTACGGAGGTCAGTTATTTCTTTTTATTAACATCATCTCATTCTGGAACTCCTGGGCTCAGGTGATCCTCCTGCCTAAACCTCCCACAAAGTTGGGGCTACAGAAGCATGACACCATGTCCAGATAACTTTTTAGTTTTTAAATTTGTTTTATAGAGATGGGATCCCACTATGTTACCTGGGATGATCTTGAACCTCTGGCCTCAAATAATCTTCCTGCCTCAGCCTCTCAAAGTTTTGGAATTACAGACGTGAGCCACTGCACCCAGTTGCTGCCTTTAATTTTGATAGTATATTTGATTCAATTGGTCTAATCATGGATTGAGCAATTTTTAGAGATCATAAAAACTTGTCAACAAAAGAGTTATTTTGACCCATTTTTTCACACATATGATTTCCAATTAATGAAAAAACATTAAAAAATATTAGAATTATATGTTGATATGTATGTATGATATTCATTCCTCAAATCCCTCCAATATACAAGTGCCAGAGGTGGTACAAAGTAAACTGCAAACTATGGAAATATATGAGTCAGGAAGGTAGGGTAAGAATTGCTTTAGTGATTTTTTTAACCAGTGAGCTATTCAAGTTTAAGAATACGGGAATGCACACACTGTAGTCACCACTGCCTCTGAGCTGATAGCTGTGCCTCTCACGTGTGCCAATCTTGGCAAATCTACCAGAGATGTCTTCAGCAAGGGCTATGCGTTTGGCTTAATAAAACTTGATTTGAAAACAATGTCTGTCTTTCTTTATGGCTGCATAATATTCCATTGTGTATTTTTTTTAATACTTTTTTATTGGGGGATGGGATTGGCAGTTGTGGGAAACTGCTAGGGAGGGAGGGGTATACCTCATCAACAAGGTTGCCTGCATAATCAATGTTTATATATCTAACCCTGAATTGTACCCCACATTTTTTAATTTAAAAAAAAGTCTGAAAATGAGTTGAAATTTACAAGCTCAGGCTCAGCCAACACTGAGGTCACCAAAGTGACAGGCAGTTGGGAAAACAAGTACAGATGGACTGAACATGGCTTGGCGTTTATGGAGCACTGACAACACACAAGGCACTGAGGTTAGGTGAAAGATCAACTTGCACATGGATGATTCATCCTGCTCACCTAACACCAGGAAGCAACAACGAACACTGCAGTCAAGATTGGGTACAAGTACATTAACCTAGGCTGCCATGTGGACTTCGACATTGCAATCCAGGACACTCTGGTGTTGGGTTATGAGGGCTAGCTGGCTACCAGATGATTTTGAGATGGCAAAGTCCTGAGTGACCCAGTGTAACTTTGTAGTTGGCTACAAGTCTGATGAATTCCAGCTTCACACAAGTGTGAATGATGGGACAGAGTTTGGTGGTTCCATTTAACGATGGTGAACAAGAAGTTAGAAATCACTGTCAATCTTGCCAGAAGGAAATGGTAACACTCAACTTTGGAATATCAGCCAAGCATCAGATTGACGCTGATGTCTGATTCCTTCCTAAAGTGTACAACTCCAGCTCGATAGGTTTAAGTTACACGCAAACCCTAAAGCCAGGTATCAACTGCTGTTGATTTCCTGGATGGCAAGAATATCAATGCCAGTGGTCACAAGCTTGGTCTAGAACTGGAATTTCAAACATTAACAAATACACAATTGTTTAATTTTGAGCTATTTTGCAGCATAGCTACCTTCAGAATTTAGTGTATCTTTTAATGTCATATGTCTGGGATGCAAATATTGACAAATACTGTGTTATGATTCAGCTTTAGGGTGCTACTCTTTCAGAAATACAGAAAAAATCTGATTCCTCAAAAGGTTCTTTTGGCTTTAGACTTGGGGGGAACTTGGTGGCTCCTCTGGGAGTGTCAGGTTTATGTTTTTCCACCAAGAATGGCTGCAAGTAGAAGCTGATAAAGTATAGGCACTTTGTACATTGAGTAAGTGAGGGAAGGTGTGACTTCCTGAGAACTGAACCTCGGTGTCCTAACCTTAATTGATGAGAGCTTCATTGCTTGATGATGTGTACATACTCACCTGAAATGGACTTTTAAAGACAGATCTTCATGACTTGTTCCCACCCCAGTCCATCGTCACCTTTTTACATCATACAAGGGTACGGTAGCCATTCTTTTTGCCATTTTGGAGTGAGGAGGACAGATATGATGAAGCCAATAATTCAGGACTTAATTCTTTTCTGTGTTGTATTTTTTGCCCCTGCACCAGAATATGAAATAGCTTCCAGGAGCTCCAGCTATAAGCTTGGAAGAGTCTGTGATTGTAATCATATGATGAAAACACTCAGAATTTAAATTGGACTTCTCTTGTTTTCTCACTACTCAATTTATCTTTAGCAGATTAATGGGTCTTAGAGTCTTCCAGGTTGTGTAGAATTAGACCTCCCCTTCAACTGCTGTAATTAACACCTCTTAAAATAAAACTTGAATAAAATATTAAGACCCCTTGAAAAAGAAAATACTGAAATATGTCACTAATCAAAAACATTATAAACTAACTGACAAAAATCTTGCAAGATAGGAATAGCAATATTAATAATTAGCACACTTACTCTTACCATGCCAGGTGAGCTACTCAATGTTTACTTCACTTCATCTTAACAACAATCCTCTGAGGTAGGTCAAGTATAATTTTATAGATAGGAAACTGGCTTACGAAATAATTCTGTAACTTATCTAATTTATCCATTTATTTCCCAATATTTATGAAGTGCCTCCTATGTGACAAGCACTCTTCTATGGACAAGGAGCTTCTGTATATAGCAGCGAGAAAATAAATTTTTGATGTCAAATGTTGACGTTGCTTCCATGTAGAATTCAGGTATGACTTAATTCCATGGCCCACACTCTTAGGAGACAGTAAGGTCTCCTGGTTAGGGCAGATTAAACACCTTCCAAAAAGATGAAATTATCAAATATTCTTTAAATCCTAAACAGTCTCCAATGCAGATTTTCTGGTTCCAGAATTGTCATATTTATCTACCTCCTCTATTTTTTTTTCTATTTTTGAATATGAGATTTATTGTAATGAAAGAATTGATGGACAAGCATGGAATCCTTTGGAATTCAAGGACAGCTACACACTCTTGTCCTAGAAGAATAGAATGGCAGTTCAGAAAATCTAGAATCTACAATGCAGCTGTAATCACCTTAGCAGCGGGGTGGTCGGGGGGGAGGTCTGTTGATCTTCCCAATAGGGCACAACCACCAAAACTGCAGCTTTCTACCAGCGACTGATCCTCCCTGTCACTAGTTATGACTTACATTTTTCCTAAGGTTTATGTATCTTTTATCTACTCTATAGCCTCTGATAACTCAATTTATATTTCCTTATTTGTTCTGTTATTCATGACCCCACTCATGGCCTTGATTCTACCCCTGGACTCCTGTCTGTAGAAATTTTTAAAGCTTTCTGTCTATTGATAAGTTTGGCTATTTCCATATTTACAAATTATTATTCTGAGAAAATATGATTGGCTTAGCTCAATTCATTTTGCTTCAAACCATTTTGTTGTTTGGTCAATGGACTGGCATAATTTGTTCAAGGTCGTCTCTTGGTCTGATCAGCTTTAGCTAGAGGGCAAGTTTATATGAACTACATAGGTTTTCCTTCAGTGGGGTCTGGGGCATTTTTAGTAATAAAGGCTATAGGTGAGGCACGCACTGTGATTGACAGTTTTTACTAAAAATGAATCCTTCCTTACATTGAACTTGAAAATATCACCTTTAATCTTCAAAAAGCAGAATAAAATTTAGAGCTGGAAAGAATATTGGAAATGAGATCATAACGCTGAAATGATTTACCAAAATGAGATAGAGCTGTGATCTCTTCTGTGTTTAAAATTTTATTTCCCCTTTTCAATATGTGATCTCAACTCTTTCTTGTCTGAATTTTATTCTTTTCAATTGACAAGATGAAAGTAAAGTTCCAGTTTCTTTTTCT